GTCGACATGATCCCTATTCTCAAGGCCCCTAGCACGGAGGAGCAGACCTTGATCGATCTCCTGGGCATCCTCCGCGCAGCCATCTACGTCAACGACCCCAGCGACCCCAACAGGACGGCAGAGGCGTGTGCCAGTAGCTGGGACGCGTTCATCCAGCACGAGCTCGCGATGCACGCGGGAGGGGAGAGGGTGCAGGAGCTGTCCTCCCTTGCCTGGGTCCAGAGCAAGTTCGACGCCATCGGCTGCACTGCTGCAGCTCTCCGTCTCATGGCGCACAGCAGCAGCATGGTGCAGGTGCAGGCAACGTCTCTTCTCCTTACGTTGCTGCAAGGAGGCAACAGGAGGGTACAGGAGACGATGGCCATGGCGCTGAAGTCGGCGAAGCATGCTAGCTTCTTCGATGCCGTCAGCAAGGTCTTGCAGTCTACCATGAACTCGCTCAAGGAGTACAAGAGGAAGAGAAAGCCGAAGCACAGCAGCAGGACGCAGCACTCCCCCTCCATGCAGGTCAGCCGCCTCGAACAAGACCTGGACGCGTCTGTGTGGAAGAGCTTCGAGGACGAGGAAGACTTGATTGGCATCGGGAGGAAGAGTCAGGTCATGCTCGTCCTCCGCCTCCTCCAGCTCATGTGCTACGGGCAGTACCAGCCCCTCCAGGAGATGATGACGCGTCAGAGTGGCTCCTCGCTGTCCTGCAACCTGCTCAAGCAGTGCCTGGACCTCTTCTCCGCCCTCCTCCCTCTAGTCGGGGACACAACCAAGAACAACGACCCGACCAGCTTCCTTATTCTCTGCCTGCAGCTGCTGGAGACTATCACCGACGCCGTCATGGGGCCCAACGTGAAGAACCAGCAGGAGGTTCTTTCCAGCTACTTCTTCTTTGACGTGAACCGCATCTTCTCCTCTATCGTCTACCTCCCCGTCCGCGACTCCTCGCAGCGCACGTCCGACTCGTGGGGGTCGGGGGAGAACAGCACGGACTGCAGCATCAACGACTACCGCTGCTTCCTCAAGCTCGCCTGCCTCAAGTGCTGCCTTTCCTTCTTCGACGCCGTTGTGAACGAGGAGATGCCAAGGGAGATGCTGGGGTTCTTTGACGTGCGCAACCTGACCTCTCAGATGCTCACCAACGAGAAGATCCTCGGGCTGGACAAGCAGTCGCGCGCTGCTGAGTTCTTCAGCTCGCTGCAGGCCAGGAGGGAGGAGAGCAAGTCGAAGCTCAGCAGGGAGACCTCGAAAGAAGTGCAGGACAGTCTGAGCATGGATGGGTCGGAGGCTCCTCGACGAGATCTGGTGAGGTCGATCCTCTGCGCGTGTTTGTATCGCTCCTTGGGGTTGTTTGTTGTGACGATCACAATCCTTGTGGTCGTTGTCATTTCCTCTAAGCATGTATCACATCTCCTTCCGTCATGTCCTCGTCTCCTCCTATCTACTTCCTACTCTTCACTTCCTCGCATCATCCTCCGGACTTTGTCATCTGATCTTCTCTTGCTCCTCAGATACACACGATGCAGTTCGGCAAGGGATTCCAAGACTTGCTAAGGTCGGAGCTGATGCAGTTCTACCAGCTCCTCCTCTACTTTGCCGAGTACGACAACACAGGAAAGGTCGCGTCGCTCATGACAACGATGGAGGTGACTCCCACCACAACCTGCTGTTCTGTCAATGACTCTATACCAGAGCGATCATGGAAGTTTGTACAAGTACCTTCACAACCACACCACGTCGGTGGAGATTGTAAGGTGTCTGCCCGAAGGCGACAAGAAGCAGGAGGAGCAGCCGCAGGGCTCGAGTGCTGGCCCGCAGCATGTGGAGAAGGTGTTCTTCAGTGTGGGCGAGAGGATGATGGAGCTTGTCTCCTCCAAAGATTTCAAGGACGTCTGGCATGAGATGATTCTGGTACCCCTCCTCCTTCCACCTTCCCCTCCCCATCCTCCTCCTCCCTCCTCCTCCCCCTCCTCCCTTCCCCCTTTCCCTCCCCCCCCTCCTCTTCCCCCTCCCTCTCCCCCTCCCCTCTCCCTCCCT